AAGGGGACGACAGAGGATGAGATGGTTGGACGGTATCACCGACTCGATGGACATGAGTTTGAGTAAACTCTGGGAGTTGGTGATGAACAGGGAGGCCTGGCGTGCTTCGATTCATGGGGTCGCACAGAGTCGGACACGACTGAGCGACTGAACTGAACTGAACCACATCTTCTTCATCTGTTTCTCAATTGATGGCCATTTAGGTTGCTTCTGTGTCTTGGCTATTGTAAACAGTGCTGCAGTGAGCACTAGGGTGCATGTTATCCTTTCAAATTATGGCTTTCTCTGGATATATGCCCAGGAGTGAGATTGCTGGATCATATGGTAGCTCTGTTTTTAGTTTTTTAAGTTTCCTCTGTACTGTTATGCATAGTGACTGTACCATTTACTCCTGCTAACAGTGTAGGAGGGTTCCCTTTTCTCAACACCCTCTGCAGCATTTGTAGATTTTTTTGGTGATGGGTATTCTAACCAGTGGGAGGCGGTACCTCACTGTAGTTTTGATTTGCATTTCTCAGTTAGTGATGCTGAGCTTCGTTTCATGTGCCTCTTGGCCATCTGTATGTCTTACGAATGTCTATTTAGATCTTCTGCCCATTTTCTGATTGGGTGTTTTTTTTTTTTTTTAATTGAGCTGCATGAGTTGTTTGTATACTTTGGAGATTAATCCCTTGTTGATATTTTGTTTGCAAATATTTTCTCCCATTCTGTGTGTTTTTGTTTTGTTTTTAATGGCTTCCTTTGCTGTGCAAAAGCTTTTAAGTTTGATAAGGTCCCATTTGTTTATTTTGTTTTTATTTTCATTACTCTCAGAGGTGGATAATTTTTTTATGTTAAACCAACCTTGCTTTTCCAGAATAAATCCTGCCTGGTCACTATGTATAATCTTTTTTATATGTTCTGGACTCAGTTTGCTAGAATTTGGTCCTACTATTTTGTCTTAATTTTTAATAGATACAAAGGTAAAGAAGAAGTGCTATTTATTTATTAGGCCCCCGGACCCCTTATAATTACCTTTTCAGAGAAACTTTCTGATACTCCTTCATCCCCAGACAACTCCTGTATAATACCATAGCACAGTGAGTAGCACTTATCCCACTGTTTCTATTGTCTCTATGTGTTTGTCAAACTCTCTTTGCTTCTTGAGAACAAACTACATACTGTAGCCCAGTCTCTAGCACAGTCACTGACTAGTATAACTTGAGACCTCTGCAAAGCAGATAATCACCAGATTTTTAAAGAAACATGAACAAAGAGGAAAAGAAGATTATGTAACAAAGGATGATTATAAAACAGAGTGACTAAGACACAGAGAATAGTATCAGCAAAATTTTACTTAGCTATATTCAGAATGAAAATATGTCAACTGATGTTCAGATTTGTTCTGCTGGTGTTATTTTAAAATACTCCTGGAAGACAAAGAGCAGACTCCCTCAGCTCCTCTGCTGCACCTGTCTTTTCTATCAAGTAGAGTTTCTTCTGATCAGACAGGGGGAGAATAAACATTAGTACTCATCTTCAGCCCCAGACATGTTACATCTCAAGTAAGAAAAGAATTTCCATATAACTAAGATCACAAAACCATTGACACTAACCTTTTAAGAATTCAAGGAAGTGAGTCTCCTCTTGCTGCTAAATGCCTAAAGATCCCATCCATCATCCATCATAATCATGTTTATTTAAGGATCAGTTCCTTCAAGAAAACATTCCCTGGGATTTCCAGGCTGGATTACATCCCCTTCTTTGAGGACATAATTCATGCATATCACTCATTCTATTTCACTTTTACTTTAATGAACTGTATATGCATCGTTACACTTCCTTAAGTAATAAGCAGCTCATCTTGTTGGAGAGGGAGGGAGAATATGTTTCAGCCAGAGAAGACAATGTAAGCAACGGCAACGAGGTGAGAAGACTGATGTTTCTTGAGGCTACAAAAAAGGTCACCATTGCTGAAGAGTAAAGGCAAGGCAGAGGATGGCAAGAGGTAAAACTGGAGAGGCAGTCGGGGGCCTGTTCACTGGAAGTCCTGCATGTCATAATAGGCAACCTGGTTCCTCTGCTGTAGCAAGTGGTTGTGAAATTTCTTTTTTTTAAACAACAGACCATTATTGAAAGAAAAATTGTACATGAGAGCCACTCAGGATGAATAGGGTTGGATGGGCCAGTTGGTGCTTGGCCTCCCTCTGATTCTCACTATAGCTCCCAGTGTGGTGAGTTTAAGTGTGGTCTGCAGATTACTAACATCAGAATTATCTATGGTGCCTTATTAAAAATGCAGATTTGGGGGTCAACAACAAATGCCAGCTTAGAATTCAAAGCTGGGATTATCATAAGCTCCCCAGATAATTCTAAAATTTTAAAACCACATATTCCGTAAGACAACTGGCTCATAATCTTCACAGTGCCAGTGCTGTGAGTGACAGGGAAGAACTGAGAGTACATGCTCCAAATTAAAAGAGAATCAATGGATATGGCAATTAAATGCAATCCATGAAACTGAATCAGGGAGAAGTTTTGCACTAATGGACATTGGTACATTTGGTGAAACTTAAGTACAGTCTGATATAAAATAGTATTGTATCAAAGTTGATTTTCCTTGAGAGGCTATTCTTGTTCTTGGAAAATAAATGCTGAAGTTCTTTAGCAATAAAGGAGCATGATATTTATTAAAAAAATGGACTTGGGGGAAATATAGCTAGATAGGTAAGATAGATATAGTTCTTTGTACTTTTTGAAATTATTTAAAAATTAAAAGTTAAAAAAATTGAAAAGAGAAAGCCTAGAACAAATTTAAATCTTAGGACTGTGCCAACTTCAACCACTGTTAGAAAACTGGGAATTACTGACAGGCTTTATTTTAGACAGTGGTATTAATCAATTTCTGTTTTTGATATATTACTTTATGGTAGTATGAAAGGTAGAATTAGGATGACAGTACTGGCTTTTAGGTCTTTGTGGCTCAGCAGGGAAACAATGCAGGAGACCTGAGTTTGATCCCTGGGTCGGGAAGATTCCCCTGGAGGAGGGCGTGGCAATTCACTCCAGTATTCCTGCCTGGAGAATTCCATGGACAGAGAAGCATGGTTGGTTACAGTCCATGCGGTTGCATAGAGTCAGACATGACTGAAGCAACTTAACACACACACACACACACACACACACACACACACACACAAAGATGGCAAGGAGACCACTTAGAAACTAAAGTGCTTCTGATAAATATGTGATGAGTCTGAAAAGAATGATGGTAGTTAAGATGAAGATAAAAGGGATTATGAGGTAAAATCAACTGGATTCAATGCCTCTCTAAATATGAGTGGTGGAAGTGAAAGAAGAAAAAAGATAACTTATCAGCTTTCTAGTTTGGTATTATATAGATATACTTGTTACCAAAGATACAGTGAATACACAAGGAACACCATGCAGTGTGGGATTAGATGAATTAGAATTTGGCTGTGAGGGACATTTATGTGAAGATACATAGCAGATAGTTAAATATAAGGGGCTGAAGCTTTGACCAGAGGTCAGATATATGTATAGATAATGTGTGTGTGTATAAGGTATATACATGTGTGTGTGGTACAACAATGTGACATAATCAAGAACGAGTTCATGAAAGGCTGAATCGAAGAAGACTTAGTTTAATAAGAATAAATTTAAGACTCCGTACACGAGACCAAAATACCAGACCAAAACTGAAGCTTGAAGAGAATGGAGGAGACATAGTGGCAGTATCAAAATAAAACTTTATAGGTTTGAGTGTTTGTGAGTCCGGCGTGTCAGTATTTTAGGATAATTTTCAAAAGAACATGTGTAATCTTAGACTGCATTAATGTGAATCTGGTATCTAGAAAGAAGCAGATGAGAATGATAATTTATTGTGTATTGTTAGGCATCCGTATCCGTGGGTTCCACATCTGCATTCAACCAACTGTGGATCAAAATAGTAGGAACAAATTTCAAGAAGTTCTCAAAAGCAAAACCTGAATTTGCTGTGCACTGGCGACTGTTTACATAGCATTTACACTGTATTAAGTATTATATTAATCTAGAGCTACTGAAGGATATGCATGGGTTGTATGCAAATACTGTGCCATTTTACATAAGGGACTTGAGCATCCTCAGATTTTGGTCTCTGTGGGGTTCCTGGAATCAGTTCCCCCTCAAATACCAAGGAATGACTGTCCTGGTTAGATGACATCTGCAATACTGTGTTCAGTTTCCTTCAAGCTTGAGTAGTGACAGAAAAGAGTAAAATATGATAGTAAAGCGACTTGAATCATATTATGGATGGCTGAAAGAAAGGAAAGGAAAATTTCAGGTAAATAAATAATAGCTTTAAAAAATATTTATGATCTGTCATGTGGAAGAGGCAATACATCTGTTCTTAATAAGCAAGGAGGATTAGGGAAAATGAGTTGATCAGAAATGTTTACCTTTAAAGTTTCTTCTTCTTTTTTTTTTTTTTGCTCTATGTTGTTAAAGAGGTGAGTTAAAATTTACAGGGACATGTGCTTTAAACTCAACATAAAAAGAGCATTGCTCTCAAGCAGTGGAATGAATCAACTGCAGTTTGGTAAACTGCTTGTCACCAAGTGTTGTCAGTCAAAGGTTGCATGTGCTTGGGTCCTGTCATCTGTAGGAGGTGAGAGTAGGGAACTTTCAAGGCTTCTCTCTGCTTTAAGATTCGGTGAGATGGGAATGAAAAGATTAGACAATGAGATGAATGGTCTTTTTTTTTCCGACTTGGTAAAATTACTGGAAATTAAATTGACATATAAGGAAGTTCTACTATCTTCTATATATTTCTAGAGTTATAAAAATCAAAATTTGAGATACAGAATTTCTGGGAAGGTGAACTGTTCTTTGGCAATCTGATTTGAAGATAATCTTCTAGTTTCCTATGTGTAAATGGTGACCAGATACATATTATTAAATAGCTCACATTCAGATGGTAGGCGACTGCTCATTACTGTCTATATTCCCATCTTACAAACCTTGGTTAGGGAGCTGTCTTCTGAAATAATCAAATATACAGTCATCTGATATAGAAGGCCGTGTATCTAGAAAAGATGGTAGAAGTCCATCAGCAGCAAGAAAACGGCTCGTTGACTTACATTCCGTATTTTTATCTTTTTATAAATGAAAATGCTAGTATGCTAGCAAATAATGGGTAAATAGTAGTTTAGCTCAATGAAATTAATACAAACAGTTCTCATATCTTATGAATTTTGTTGCATTTTAGATATTTATCAGTTCAGTTCGGTTCAGTCGCTCAGTCGTGTTCGACTCTATTTATAGGTAAGGTCTAAAAAATATTCCTACTGTTTGGGTGAGCAGTTCCTTTCTAGGAATCTATTACAGATAAATAATTATATACAAATAGTGAATTAAAAAGTCTTCATTGTTTATGACAGAAAAAAACATGATCAAAATAAAATTTTAACAATGGAGGGTATCTAAATAAATTAAGGTTCACTAATACAATGGAATACTTTGCCACCATTTATTAACATTGACAGAAGTTAATAATACACTGTGATTTTAAATGAAAACATTTAAATCTTGCCAAAAAAACCCTGAAGATTAGTCTGTGTGATTAACATGGACTGTACATGTATAGAAAAAATGTCTAAAATAAATATTCTAAATATGTTCTTTATTTTTAAATTCTGACATTAAATTTAACAGAAGAATATATAAAAGTTACATAGCAAAAGTGACAGTTTTTCTTGGCTTATTACTACGAGAAAGAATTTAAAGTTCAATGAAGTAACCATCTTAATTATAAAAAAATTCCCTCTTAGGTGTGGTTTTTATTTCCATTTCTATTTTTAATTAGCCTGCTGCATCACAGTGGGACATAGTGAGAGATGGCACTGGAGTGCTGCAGTCCATGGGGTTGCAGAGTTGGACACAACTTAGCGACTGAATAACCACAATCGCATCATAAACTAAACGGATTTATGTACATTCATGCTGGGCTGTGCTTAGTTGTTCAGTTGTTTGCAACCCCATGGACTGCAGCCCGCCAGGCTCCCCTGTCCATGGGTTTCTCCAGGCAAGAACACTGGAGTGGGTTGCCATGCCCTCCTCCAGGGCATCTTCCGACCGAGGGATGGAACCCCGGTCTCTGGCATCGCAGGCGGATCCTTACTGTCTGAGCCACCGGGGAAGCATGTACACATGCTTTAGTCATCACCCGAGATCCTTTTTCAAAATAAGTGTGGTGTGAATGTGTTAAAAAATATTCACGTAAAATTAAAGAATTATTTTAGATGAAATTAAAATGTTTAAATTACATGAATATTTTCCAAAGGACCTCAAGATAATGAGATAAAAATTAAGAAAAAAAAACAGAATATAAATCTCTGAATCTCTTAACATTTCTGGTATTTTTTTCTTAGAGATTTATATCTATATCAGACTTAGCAGATTCTCACAGAAGCAAATGAGTAGTCCAAAATTTAGTTTCTCTCTTGGCCCATCCTTTATTAATTTATGAAAACAAAAGGACCATGATGTTTTTTAAACACAAACCCCTATATTCTGTTTGGGGAAAAACCTTTCAAATGAGGGCTCTCTTTCAAGTATGCGGGCCACTCAGTCCAGCCCTCAGTGTGCTTCCTGGGCACCCTGTCCAGACTGCAGGCACTGCACCTGTTAACACTGCACTTAACTTGTTTGTCTGTCTCCCCCTATTAAATGATGAGTTCCTAAGGTGTAAGAAACAGTACAATATATTCTTAATATCCCTAGCACAAAGCACAGTGATAACCTCCAAGTTGTAGTGCAAAAAAGTGTTTGAGGAATTAATCATTTATCAGAGGGTAAAAGCAGAACATTACCTGTCACATCAGAAACTGATTCTTTGTGTCTTTGAACTAAATGTCCTTTATCACAAACCTAATGGAACATAGAACCAGAAGGAAAACAGTACTATATTATAAACATGAAAATGAGGTATATTTTCTACAATTTATGGTAATTTTCAACATTTCTCATTTTATTCTCATAGATTTAGACTGGACAAAAATAATCTTTTAAATCAGTACCTTCTAGTGTCTTTCACAATACTACTTTTCTTCTCCGCCAATGGCAGAAGAAAATGTTAAATACTGTATTTTGGCATTAAAGGGAGTTTAAATTTTTTTTTACTTCGTGTAGAACTTATAGGATGAGAAAGAGACAAAAAGTGTATGCTTTATAATTTCATTTGCTTAATAAGATTAAAGATAAAGACAAGTGGTGCTGGGAAAACTGGTCAACCACTTGTAAAAGAATGAAACCAGAACACTTTCTAACACCATACACAAAAATAAACTCAAAATGGATTAAAGATCTAAATGTAAGACCAGAGACTATAAAACTCCTAGAGAAGAACATAGGCAAAACACTCTCCAACATAAATCACAGCAGGATCCTCTATGACCCACCTCCCAGAATACTGGAAATAAAAGCAAAAATAAACAAATGGGACCTAATTAAACTTAAAAGCTTTTGCACAACAAAGGAAACTATAAGCAAGGTGAAAAGACAGCCTTCAGATTGGGAGAAAATAATAGCAAACGAAGCAACAGACAAAGGATTAATCTCAAAAATATATAAGCAACTCCTGCAGCTCAATTCCAGAAAAATAAATGACCCAATCAAAAAATGGGCCAAAAAACTAAACAGACATTTCTCCAAGGAAGACATACAGATGGCTAACAAACACATGAACAGATGCTCAGCATCACTCATTATCAGAGAAATGCAAATCAAAACCACAATGAGGTACCATTACACGCCAGTCAGGATGGCTGCTATCCAAAAGTCTGCAAGCAATAAATGCTGGAGAGGGTGTGGAGAAAAGGGAACCCTCTTACACTGTTGGTGGGAATGCAAACTAGTACAGCCGCTATGGAGAACAGTGTGGAGACTTCTTAAAAAACTGGAATTAGAACTGCCATATGACCCAGCAATCCCACTTCTGGGCATACACACCAAGGAAACCAGATCTGAAAGAGACACGTGCACCTCAATGTTCATTGCAACACTGTTTATAATAGCCAGGACATGGAAGCAACCTAGATGCCCATCAGCAGATGACCAGATAAGGAAGCTGTGGTACATATACACCATGGAATATTACTCAGCCATTAAAAAGAATTCATTTGAATCAGTTCTAATGAGATGGATGAAACTGGAGCCCATCATACAGAGTGAAGTAAGCCAAAAAGATAAAGACCAATACAGTATACTAACACATATATATGGAATTTAGAAAGATGGTAACGATAACCCTATATGCAAAACAGAAAAAGAGACACAGATGTACAGAACAGACTTTTGGACTCTGTGGGAGAAAGCGAGGGTGGGATGTTTTGAAGGAACAGCATCGAAACATGTATATTATCTAGGGTGAAACAGATCACCAGCCCAGGCGGGATGCATGAGACAAGTGCTCGGGCCTGGTGCACTGGGAAGACCCAGAGGAATCAGGTGGAGAGGGAGGTGGGAGGGGGGATCGGGATGGGGAATACATGTAAATCCATAGCTGATTCATGTCAATGTATGACAAAAACCACTACAATACTGTAAAGTAATTAGCCTCCAACTAATAAAAATAAATGGAAAAAAAGGATAAAGAGAAGTACAAAATGAATGAAAATATATAAAATTGTATGGAAAAAGTATAAGGAATTGCAAAACTGTGTTTATACAGGAAAGTTGAAAAAATAATTTCTCATAGCCTTTTTTTACAAGTTTAGAGTAAGAAAGACCATATGCATGACACTGCTGTCTGTGTGTCATGAAAGGAGATACCTTGCCAGTCTGACTGAGCTGGACTAAAAGAAACACAAAACACTGTAGAATTGTGACTGCTCATCTTGAGTAGTATACACAAATCATCATGTGAGTGTGAAAACATTCTGCAAGTCTCTTAGTCGTGTCCAACTCTTTGCGACCCCATGGGCTATACAGTCTATGGAATTCTCCAGGCCCGAATACTGGAGCGGGTAGCCTTTCCCTTCTCCAGGGGATCTTCCGGACCCAGGGATCAAACCTTAGTCTCCCACATTGCAGATGGATTCTTTACTAGCTGAGCCACCAGGCAAGCTGAAAACATTTTAGATAACTTCCAAACTGTTTCAAAATTCTCCAAGCCAGGCTTCAATAATATGTGAATCGTGAACTTCCAAACTGCCTTTTAGAAAAGGCAAAAGGACCAGAGATCAAATTGCCAACATCCGCTGGATCATCAGAAAAGCAAGAGAGTTCCAGAAAAACATCTGTTTCTGCTTTCTTGACTATGCCAAAGCTTTTGACTGTGTGGATCACAATAAACTGTGGAAAATTCTGAAAAAGATGGGAATACCAGACCACCTGACCTGCCTCTTGAGAAATCTGTATGCAGGTGAGGAAGCAACAGTTAGAACTGGACATGGAACAACAGACTGGTTCCAAATAGGAAAAGGAGTATGTCAAGGCTGTATATTGTCACCCTGCTTATTTAACTTAAATGCAGAGTACATCATGAGAAATGCTGATGGAAGATTGCTGGGAGAAATATCAATAACCTCAGATATGCAGATACCACCACCCTTATGGCAGAAAGTGAAGAACTAAAGAGCCTCTTGACGAAAGTGAAAGAGAGTGAAAAAGTCGGCTTAAAGCTCAATATTCAGAAAACGAAGATTATGGCATCCAATCCTATCACATCATGATAGGGAAACAGTGGCAGACTATTTTTTTGGGCTCCAAAATCACCGCAGATGGTGACTGCAGCCATGAAATTAAAAGATGCTTTCTCCTTGGAAGTAAAGTTATGACCAACCTAGACAGCATATTAAAAAGCAGAGATATTACTTTGCCAACAAAGGTCCATCTAGTCAAGGCTATGATTTTTCCAGTAGTCATGTATGGATATGAGAGTTGAACTATAAAGAAAGCTGCTTTTTAGATAAAATTGAATGGCAGCCAAAAAAAAAAAAAAGATAATTAGCATGAAAATGGGAGGTGGCAGGAAATTGTAAAAATCAAAACTTGATTATTGAAGGGAAAGAGATAAGGAAGTATTCTAGAAAAAATTAAGCAAAGTTAAAAGTAGCAATATTACCTAATCATCATAAAGAATTTAGAGAGACAAGGGGTAAAACTAGGCTGAAGAAAATTCACTTGTAATAAGACTTGACTTGATTAATTCATTGTCATTTTTAGCTTTCCTCCTTTGATTGAAATATGGCTATGAACAATAATAAAACTATTATCTTCATCTTATAGAAAATTACAAGGCCAGTGTCCTTATGGTTGGTTGGCTGGTTTAGCTGCTCAGTCATGTCCAACTATTGCGAACCTATGGACTGTAGCCTGTCAGGCTCCTCTGTCCATGGGATTGTCTAGGCAAGAATACTGGAGTGGGTTGCCATTTCCTCCCTCCAGGGGATCTTCCCAACCCAGGAGTCAAATGTGGGTCTCCTGCATTGCAGGCAGATTCTTTACCAACTGAACTATGATCAACTCCTAGTGTCCTTTATGAATGTGATCTATAAATTCTTTTTGTTGCTTTTAAATATTTATTTTTAATTGGAGGATAACTGCTTTACAATATTGTATTGGTTTCTGCCATATTGATCTATAAATTCTAATCACAGTAATCTACAATTATTTGTTTTTGCTTAAAGTCTGCAAGATTAATTACTGAAAGTATTCTGGTAGGGAATAAAGCTTACTAAAATAGTTTAATACTTTTTTGGTGATATATTGATATCTTACAAGCAATCATTTAAAAAACAGTTGACGAGCATGAGCTTAATTTGACCTCAGGCATTAACCTCAGTTAAGATGATACTGTTCACTCTTTTTACCAAAGATTATTAAAAAGTGAGAAGAAAAATTCAAAAGTTCTCGGAAAAGTAGATTCTGTTAATCCACATCTGGCAGATGGCAGTGTATTTGCTGCTGTATCTGCTGGATGAACTTGTCATGGGTAACCTTAGATTTCCCACTGGATTACTATTATTAACAGCAGAAATATTTGAGTAGAAATCTTCTAACCTGAGGCTGGTACTCAGGTTGACTTCTGGGCTCTCTGCAGGTAACAGATGCTTTATGGATTGACCGATGGGATCCAAGGAGGATTTTTTTATCTCATCAACTTGGGATATTGTCCTTCATCTGTGGTTGTCAGGCTTACTTCCTAACTAGACAGTTCCTCTGATCTCTGGGTAGGGTACTAATCTTTCCCCCTACCCCTTCCATCCCTGACCACACTCTCTGGGAGTGCAGTGGTTTTGGCAGACGTCTCTGACTCCTTCCCTGACTATACCCAGCAGTTAAATTCCGCTAATTTCTAGCTGGTAGCTCTATTGCTTTATCAATGCTTTGGGGATATATATTGCTCTACAGGCTAATTCAATCAAATCTGGGTTCCTTTGAAGGGATAATTTGCCAGGTCAGGGTTTTAGATTTATACTGACCCTGCCTTAGACTCCTCCTACCTGTTCCCCTGCCCCCAATCCTCTCTGTGAACTAGCCAGCCTACACGTTTGGTCCATATCTCCAAAGAATCTACCAATCTTCTTCAAATCGCCTTTCTCTATATTTCAATTTTTGAGAATGATGTTAAGCTTGAATTTCTCCAGGATCTGTTGCAAATTACGTCTTTTACTTTGGGAAGACATTAGGAGCTATGTTTTATCTGGTCTGTTGTGTCATCTAACATCTCTGTTGCCTTACTGATTTTCTGTCTAGAAGATCTGTCCATTGATGCCAATAAGTCTCCTACTATTATTGTATTCTTGTAGGTCTTTCCCTTTATGTCTGCTGATACTCATTTTATATATTTACGTGATCCTGTATTGAGTATATTTATGTTAACAAGTGTAGTATCTTCTACTTATATTATTCCTTTTATCATTATATAATGTCCTTTGTTTTTCCTTATGGCCTTGTTTTAAAGTCTGTTTTATCTGATATGAGTATTGCTAGCCCCACTTTCTTATTGTTTCCATTTGCATGAAATGCCTTTTCCCATCCCCTCACTTTTAATCTGTATCTTTTCTCCTAAAGTGAGTCTCTTGTAGGTGGTAATTTTTATTCAATCTGCCAGTCAGTCTTTTGATTATAGAATTCAGTCCACTGACATTTAAAGAAATCATTAATAAAGTATGTACTTACTGCCACTTTAAACATTTGTTTTCCAGTTTTTATAGTTATTTATTTCTTCTTTTGGTTTTCCCTTTTGTGGTTTGATCGCTTTCTTCTGTATTATGCTCAAGTTCCTTTCTTTTTGGTCTTTGTGAATCTATTGTACCTTTTTGATGTGTGGTTACCTTGGTTTTCAAGTGTTAACCCATAACTATATCTTATGCGTTCTAAATGAATAGTCATACAAGTTCAAACACATTCTAAAAGATCTACATTTTTATATTCCCCTCCACTACATTTTGTGATTTTGGTCTATTTTATATTTTGATGCTTATCCTTTTACCACTAATTGTAGTTATAGTTGCTTTTACAATTTTTTTGGATTGCTTTTAATCTATGTACTAACTTAAGTAATGTTCAATCTTTTTATATATTTGCCTTTCCTGTTTCCCCTTTCCTATAGATACTTGCTTCTTTTCTATCTAGAGAAGATCTCTCAATACCTCTTTTAGGTTAGGCTTAGTGTTGCTGTATTCTTTTACTTTTTGCTTGTCTGAAAAATTCTTTCTCTCTCCATCTACTCTAAATGATAATCTTGCTGGCTGGAGTGTCCCAGGTTGCAGGGTTTTCTCTTTCAGGACTTAGACTATATCATGACACTCCCTTGTGACCTGCATAGCTTTTGCAGAGAAATCAACCTTATAGGGGTTTCCATGTACTGACTGTTTTTCTCTTGCCTCGAGAATCCTCTTTAACTTCTGCCATTTTAACTATGTCTTGGTCTGTGTCTGCTTGTGTTTATCTTCTTTGGGACCTTCTATGCTTCCTGTACCTGGATATCTGTTTCCTTCTTTAGATTCTAGGAAATTTTCAGCCATAATATCTTTAAAAACAGTTTTGATCCTCTTCTCTATTATCCTTCTGGTACCAAAATTATGCATAGGCTGGCATTCTTCATGGGGCTTCTCTGGTGGCTAAGACTGTAAAGAATCTGCCTGCAATTAAGGAGATGTAGGTTTGATCCCTGGGTCGGAAAGATCCCCTGGAGAAGGGAATGGCTACCCACTCCAGTATTCTTGCCTGGAGAATTCATGGACAGATGAAGCCTGATGGGCTACAGTCCATGTGGTCACAAAGAGTTAGACACGACTGAGAAGGCACTCTATAATATCCAATAGCTTTTGTGTATGGCTTTCATTTTTTTTTTTCCCTCAATTTGGCTTTCTGTCTTCTGATTGGGTGATTTCCATTATTCTGTCTTCCAGATCACTTCGGTTCAGTAAGGCTCTGCTGCCCTTAACTATGTGCTCTGTCCCAGAGGAGGTGAGTGCTGAAGCAAGTGGGGCCCACGTGGTCACAGCGTACCTGTGCGTCGCCAGTGAAGTTGCCTGCAGTTCTGCCCAGAGGCAGCCCGAGGTTGTGTCCCTTGTCCGCTGTGTTTGTCCCAGACTAGTTCTAGGCCGGGGCTGAGAGGTTGGGGTGCTGTAGCTGCAGGAATGGAGGTCCCTCTGCTGCTGCCGGGGCCCTGGCTGCCTCTGCGGGAGTGCCCCCCAGGGCCTCTCCAGCCCCCATCCAGCTCCAAGCTGGGGTGTGAGGTGGGAAGGACCAGATCACTCTCACAGGGAAAGGAGCCGCTCTGTATTCCTCCTAGGGATGCCTGCTAGAGACGTGCGGTTCTGGGAGGCCACTTGGTGTGCATGCCAATAAGGTCTGTTGCCACCGTCCCAGCGCCCCACACGCAGGTGCTGACAGCTTCTGCTCTACTGTGCATGCAGCCTCGGTTGTACAATATAAGAGGTCTTCTGCCCGTTTCTTGTCGGTTTTCTGTGAGAACTGTTCCACAGGTGGTTGTATTTTTGATGTGTTTGTGAAGAGAGGTGAGCTCCACATCCTTCTACTCTGCCATCTTGCTGCACTTATGCAAAATTTCTAACGGGGGTGTCATGCTGAGAGGGGGACAGTGGCACTTTTCTTTCAGTGGTACCCCACTTTCAGAGCTAAGATGTAGGTGGGAGTAGGGCAGTAGTCTCAGGTCTTCTCTATGTGCTTCTTCCAGTGTGGAACTAACACTTTATTAGCCAAGATAGGGGCAGTTAGGACCAATATATTTTCAGTGATGTAGCATCCAAACTAGAGCCTTATTTTCAAGAACGGGGTCTGGATAGAAAGAAGGAGCCCCCACCTCTTGGCTGCACTTACCTGGAACTTAGCTTTAGCAATAGGTAGCTGGAGACAGAGTAAGAAATTCTAGTGCCCTGCTCCTCCTGGTATATGATAGCCCTTTGTCTGGTATCTGGGGAGAGAGGGGACCCTGTGTCCTCCACTGCAGAGTATCAGTGAGCTGGGGCTGGGGGATGGGCAGAGTCTTGATTCAAATATCAGAGGTTCTGGGGGGGTTTTTTGTTGTTGTTGTTATTTTTTGTTTTTATCATATTTTAGATTTTTCTGAGTAGATGTTTTTTTCATTTGCTGTATGCCCCAGGACCATTTGCAGAAACTTTAAATTAAAAAAAAAATAATTTTCACTAATTTTTGCTGGTGAAAGGGTTTGCAGAGTTCCTCCTGCTGTCATGATGAAAGGCAATCTCAGCACCACCTGTTTTATATTCTTGTATTCCTATTAAGTTTTCTAAGTTTTCTCTCTTCTTGCTATCTTGAATGCCTCTTTGTAAGAGACCTTAAATAGTTTTCTGAGTAAGGTAATTCTAAGTGAAATTTAAATACAGAACCTTAAGACCCACCTCTCACCTGTCAAGATTCTTTTGTATTTTTATAAATAGTAAGTAATATAAGCAAAATTTTAATCATTAAGTTTTCCTGGGGAAAAATCATTAAGTGTGTAAGCGTGTAACTTGCTGTTCTCTTGTTTTTTTCAAACAACCGTTAGCAAACCTATCAATGAATATTTACCTCTTGCTCTTCTTCTCTGATGTTTTGATGTCTTGCTATGGTAGAGTTTCTTTCCTTCTTTGTTTTTAGTTGTATTTTCTTGGTTTTTATCTAGGTAAGAGATTCATATTTAATCAATGTATCAAAGACAGTACATATGCAGATATAAAACTATTTTGAGACTTCTAGGAAGATGAAGTACTTTTTCTCTTCTTTCCACTAAGTACAACTAAAACCCCGGGCCGTTACATACAAAGTAAACACAAGAGGCTCTGAAAGGGGAAAAGGAGGCAGATGATGAGGGACTTCAGGAACAGAAGAGCTGCCTGATGGTGAGTAGTTCTGTGTTTTCTTTTTGCCTTATCTACCCCAGCCTTAGAGCTGGAGAAGCCAGAAACCCAGAAGTGCCAATGAGTGAAGATAAAATGCCTGAACACATCCCAAATTTGATCAGAGACATGAAGGTAACTATCAAAGAATCTCAGTCAACTTCAAGTAAAATAAAATGCCCACAGTAAGTCACATAAACTTTGAAAGCAGTTAAGACTGATGCAAACTGTTACCTACAAGGGATCCTCAATAAGATCATTGCCAATTTCTCAGAAACTTTGGAAGCCAGAAGACAATGCAGAATATAAAGGAAAAAAAAAAAAACAACAAAAAAACCCCAGCAGAACTGTCCTTCAAAATTTAGGGAGAAATTAAGACATTTCCAGATAAACAAAAGCTGAGAGAGTCTGTGACCACTTGACATGCCTTGAAAGAAATGCTCAAGGGATTTCTGGAAGGTTAAATGAAAGGGCACTAGGCAGTAGAAGAAGCTGTAGAGAAAAATAAAGGTCTAAATGAAGGTAATAAATACATGGGAAATTATGAATGTTAGTATTATTGTAATAATAATTTCAAACTGAATTTTCTATCATCTACATGAAAAAAAGTGTCAGCTGCCTGCAACTCCATGGATGGTAGCCCACTGGGCTCTGTCCATGGGCTTCTCCAGGCAAGAACACTGGAGTGGGTTGCCATGCCCTCCTCCAGGGAATCATCCCAATCCAGGGACTGAACCCAGGTCTCCTGCATTGCAGGCAGATTTTTTACCATTTGAGCTAGCTGGGAAGCCCTACATGATTAAGTCTACATGATTAAAGAGGAAAAAAAATTAAAGGAAAAAAAAGCATTTATTAGTCTAAAAGCTAGTACTACTATTTCTTTGGCCTATGAAGTGTTAAGTCGCTCAGCTGTGTCTGATCTTTGCGACTCCATGGACTATAGCCCACCAGGCTCCTTTGTCCATGGAATTTTCCAGGCAAGAAGACTGCAGTGGGTTGCCATGTCCTTCTCCAGGGGATCTTCCCGACTCAGGGATTGAACCTGGGTTTCCCACATTGTGGGCAGATTCTTTATTGTCTGAGCCACCAGACAAGCCCTATAACAGCAAACCTTGTTTGTTACATAATTTAGGAGACTAATACACTTAAGGAAACATTAGTTTATGTTTTTGGGCACACAATGTATAACTATGTAATTCTGTGACATATACAACTGACAGCATTGGGGTACAGCTATAAAGAACAGTTTTTGTATGTTTTGAAGTTAAGTTGATATAAATTCAAATTAGACTGTTATAACTTTAGGATAGTAAATGTAATTCCCATGGTGAAAACAAAGAAATGACTTACAAAACATACACAAAAGGAAATAAGAAAGGAACTGAAACATTTCACCACAAAAAATCAACTAAGCACAAAAGAAGACAGTAGTGCAGGAAAAGAAGGGACAAAAACACTATAAGGCATATAGAAAACAGCACAAGGACAGAAGTCAGTCTCTATCAGTAGTTATTTCCATTGTAAATGGATTAAACTCTCCAATCAAAAGAGAGCGACTGGGAGAATAGATAAAAACACTATATCCAACTATATGCAGTCTTAAAAGACTCACAAAGATCCAAACACACAAACTGGTTGAAAGTGAAAGGAAAGAGATATCCTATGCAAACAGTAACCCAAAGAGGCAGAGGTGGCTCTATTAAACAAACATAGACTAAATTTTAAAACGTTACTGGAAACTACTTTTAAAAGGACATTATAGGTTAATAAAAAATTCAATACAGCAAGAATACATAACAATTATAAATATTTACATACCTAATGATCATTAAAATATATGAAGCAAAATAGAACCGAAGGGAGAAACAGACAGTTCTACAATAATAGTAGTAGACTTCAATACCCTACTTACAATAATATGGAACCAATCAGAAGATTGTAAGGAAAAAGGATTTAGCACAGTAAGTCATCTAAACTTAACAGACATACACTGTACCCAACAACAAGAGTATACATTTCTCCTCAGTTGCATACAGGACATTTTCCAGGATAAAACATATGTTAGGCCACCAGTTAGGTTTTAATACATTTTAATAGATAGAGAGCATACAAAGTATCTCCCTCTGACCACAATGGGATGAAGTTAGAAATAAATAACAGAAGAAAATCTAAAATATTCAAAAACTTGTGGAAATTATGCACACACTTTAAAAAAAATCGATCAAAGAAGTCACAAGGGAAATTAGAAAATACAGAGTTGAATAAAAATGAAAACACAACAGAGCAAAATTTAAGAGACACAGCATAAGTAGCACTGAGGAGGAAATTTATATCTGTAATCACATTAAAAAACAAATTCACAGATGGCAGAAGGAAGGAAGTAATAAAGATTAGAGCAGAGATAAATGAAATGGAAAAACTAAAGAAAATGAATCAAAAGGTCAACAAGATTGACAAATCTCTAGCTAAATGGACTAAGGAGAAAAGACAAATTACTAAAATCAGAAATAAAAGTGAGGATTTTAGTATCAATTCTACACAAATATAAAGGATTATAGTAACAAAGTCTTACGAAAAAGTGTATGCCAACAAATTGGATAACCTAGATGAAATGGATAAATTCCTAGAAACACAGAACTTACCAAGACTATCTCATGAAGAAATAGAAAATATGAATAGACAAGTAACTAGTTAAGGAGACTGAAATCAGTAATCAAAATTCTCCCAACTAACAATAAAGCCCTGATGGTTTGTTTGGTGAATTCTACCAAATATTTAAAGAACAACTAATGCTGATCTTTCTCAAACATTTCCTAAAAATTGAAGAGGAAGGAACATTTTATAATTTATGAGGCCAGAGTTACCCTGATACCAAAGCTAAACAAAGACACTACAAACAAGAAAAGGAAGCTATATAGACCAGTATCCCTTACGAACATGCTCAACAGCACTAATCATTAAGGAAATGCAAGTCAAAGCCACAGTGAGATGGTATCTCACATCTGTCAGAATGGCCATTATTAACAAACAAACAAACCAGAAAATAACAAGTGTTTGCAAGCATGTAGGTACCTTAGAGCCTGCATGCACTGTTGGTGGGAATATAAAATGGTATAACTGCTGTGAAAAACAGTGTGGAGGTTCCTCAAAAAATTAAAAGTAGAATCACCATATGATCCAGCAGTTTCCTTTTGGGGTATACACCCAAAAGAATGAAGAGCAGCAGCTTCTTGAGGAGATGTGTGATCATATTCACAACAGCTAGAATGTGGAAGCAACCTTAGTGTATACTGAGAGATGAATTAGCAAAATTCAGTGTAAACATACAATAGAATATTATTTAGCCTTATAAAGGAAAGAAATTCTGAAATATGCTACAATATAGATGAACCTTGAGGACATCATGCTCGATGAAATAAGCCAATCACAAAAAGACAAACACTGTGCAATTCCACTTATATGAGGTACTTAGTACAGGCAAAATACATGAAGAAAGAAGAGTATACAGTGGTTTCCAAGAGACATGGGAGTAGAGAATGGGGAGTTATTAAAGGCTATAGAGTTTGCTTTTCAAGATGATAAGAGTTATGGGGTGGTGGTGATGGTTGTACAACAGTGTGAATGTACTTGTACCAATGAATTATACACTTAAAAATGGTTAATACGGTAAATGTTATGTGTAATTTTACTACAATTAAAAAAAAAAGAATCAATCTCTATATTTTTGAGGGGCTACTGGAAAAGAGAGTATATACCAGACTTAGAATTGTGAGAATGGGAGGCTAAAATTCCATCTTGCCGGCAAGAGAGGAGAGTCTGAGAATAGAACCAACCCAGAAGAGGCAGAAATGACATTAAAATGGAGAAAAAAACTTTGCATCCTGGTGATATTCTTCGAGCCCCTTATTTAAGCCATGGCTAAAGCCACCCTTGTCTCTAGACTATTTCCCTTACTAAACTGACCAATTCCCCTTTTAGCTAAGCCATCTTTTGGAACAGTTTTTTTGTTCTTTGCAATGGATGGACTTCTGATACACACCCTCAGAATATGATATAGTAGGTAGAGAAGAAAACAATCCCCAGGTCAGTAAGTGGAAGCTCCATCTTGTTGCTCAGGCCTGGAATTCTGGAGACCTCTTTCTCTCCTTTGTGTTTTTCAAACTTGTACCCAAGCCATCAGCAAATGCTCTAGACTCTGTCAGATATATCTAACATCTGGTCGCGTCTCATTGTCTCTACAGCTACCACCTCGGTCCAGCTACCACTGCTTCTTGCCTGGGTAACTGCAGCAGCCCCTTAAGTGGTTTCCCCTCATGGTTCATCGTTCTGCTCTCAACACAGCAGCCAAAGTGACCTTGCTGACACAAAGCCCATCATGTTACTCCTCTAACCCAAACTCCCCAAACTCAAGAGTAAAAACTAAGTCCTAAGCCAGGTTTTACATGAGCTATTCCACCTGCTCCCCAATGTCCAATACCTATTTCACATTCTCTCTCACTCCTGTTCTCTTTGTTCAATCTTCTCTACCCAGATTAGCTTCCTTGGTCTTCCTACAAGATAACAGACGTGTTCCTCATGGCCTTTGCACTTCTAGTACTCCTACTCTAGGAATGAATACGTTTACTCTCCCTACTCCATTGATGTTAGATTTGGACATAGGAATTTATCTAGCCAGTGCAATGATACATGGTAACTTTAAACATACTTTCATGGTATGCCTCCTGAACTCTTGGTGATTTACCATGAGAGAACATGCCCCAGCTGGCTGCTGGTGTCTGTGGAGAAGGAAGAAATGTAGACCAGATCTGAATCAGCCCACAGTCTGGACATGAGTTCAGTGGACTCCTGGTCAGTCCAATATAGCCATGAAAGTGAAAGTGAAAGTGAAGTCACTCAGTCATGTCTGGCATGGGATTTTCCAGGCAAGAATACTGGAATGGGTTGCCATTTCCTTCTCCAGGGGATCTTCCCAACCCAGGGATCAAACCCAGGTCTCCCGCATTGTAGGCAGATGCTTTTACCGTCTAAGCCACCAGTGAAGTCCAACATAGCCATGGATGACCCCAAAACAGGAAAAAAGATATTTGCTAATATAAGCTATTGACATTCTGAGAATTGTTTTAATGAATAATATATGAATAGTTTAGAAATGATAACCTAAAAGTAGGATGCTGTCCTAATAAAACCTAAACTATGTGGCAATCATTGGCTTGGTGACTAAATAACATGTGGTTATAGGAAGGCAGAAAACACAAGTTATATAGAGGTGACACATTTAGTGAAACTGTCTTCTGTGAGAGAAGATGTGCCTAACAAACCTGAGTCACTGGACAAAGAGACTTTGAGGCAGAAAATTTATACAGTATGAGTTGGTGGTTGCTAGCTTCATTTGATAAGGTCCTACAAGAAAGAAATCAGCTCAAAAATACTTGGATAAAAAAATGGAATTGAGAGGGAAAACAGCCCCAAATTCTAGAATTTGTAGGTTGGCTTCAATATAGCCTTGAGGCAAAGGTCAAATCAATATTAATGGCTTCTACATCTGTGGTAGACAATCTCTAAGATGACCTCTGATGATCCCCGTCTGTTAGCATTCATACTCTTCTGTGGTCCTAGGTCATTGGGCTCAACCTAGTGACTTACTTCTAATGAATGGTATACGGCAAAAGTGATGGGATTCTGCTTCTGAGATGAGGCTACAGGGAGACTGTACCTCCAGCCTGTGTGCTCTCTTCTGCTGTCTTACTTGCTCATTCTGTTGAAAGCCAGATATGTGCTGTGAGCTGTCATGCAAGAAGCACACATGGTAAGGAACTAAGGGAGACTCCCGCCCTCAGCCAACAAGGAACTGAGTCCCTCAGCTCAGCAGCCTGGGAGGAACTGAATCTATCACCAACCATGGAAGTGAACTCGGGGTAATTATTACTCAGCAAGAGGAAATGAATACAATATCTGTCTTGGTCCATTCACCTGCTCTAACAAAACAGTTACCACAGACTGGGTGTCTAATAAAAAAGGAAACTTATTTCTCATATTTCTAAGGCTGGAAGGTTGAGATGAGGATGTGGTATGGTCAGGTGAGAGCTTCCTTTTGGTTTGTGGACTATTTGTTGCATCCTCACAAGGCAGAAGGGGCTAGGGATCTGTCTGGGCCCTCTTTTACAAGGCACTAATCCCATTCAGATGGCTCGGCCCTCATGACATAATCACCCCCCAAAGGCCCCACCTTCTAGTACCATAATACTTGGCATTATAATGTCAACATATGACTTCTGGGAGACAGAAGTATCCAGACCATTCCACCCCAAACCTCCCACATTGACATCCTTCTCAAAAGCAAAGTTCATTCATTCCATCCCAACAACCCCTAATGTCTTAACTCATTCCAGTATCAACTCTAAACTCCAAAGTCCTAGCTAAATATCATCTAAATCAGATATGGATAAAACTCAAAATATGATTCATCCTAAGGTAAATTTCCTGTCCAGTTGTGAAACCATGACCAAGTTATGTACTTCCAAAGTACCACCGAGGGACAGGCATAGGATAGACATTCCCATTGTAAAAGGGGGAAAAAGCAAAGAAGGATGAGGTGATGGGTCTCAAGCAAGTGCAAAACCTAGTAAAGCAGATTCAATGAGATCTTCATGGTCATGAATAATCCTCATGCCTCCGTGATCTGCCTTCTGGACCCACTGGGGTGGCAGTATCATCCAACAGCTTGGCAGGCTGCCACTCATACCTGGCTCTCTGTCAGTACTCTGTCCACACCACAGTGCACAGCTCCAGACAGCCTACCTCCATGGCCTTCAATGGAAGCCATCTGCCCTGTTAAAACCTAGGCGTTAGCGTCCCTGATGATCTCTTAGTCCCTTTGGGGCTTTTAAAAACTTATCTTGCTGACACAAACAGATGGAAAGATACACCGTGTTCTTGGATTAGAAGAATTGATATTGTTAAAATGACCATAAATATCCATGGCAACCTACAGATTCAATGCAATCACTGTTAAAATACCAATGGCACTTTTCATAGAACTAGAATAATTAAAAAATTTGTATGCAAACACGGAAGACCCTGAATAGCCAAAAGAATCTTGAGAAAGAGGAACAGAGCTGAAGGAATCATGCTCCCTGACCTCAGACTATACTACAAAGCTTCAGTAATCAAAATATAGTACTAGTACAAAAATAAATAACAAAGACCAATGGAACAGAATAGGGAGCCCAGAAATAAACCCACACACGTATGGTCAATTAATCTATTACAAAGGAGGCAAGAATATTCAATGGAAAACAGTCTCTTCCGAAAGCAGGGGTGGGAAAACTGGACAGCTACACGTAAAAGAATGAAATCAGAACATTCACTAACACCACATACAAAAATAAACTCAAAATGGATTACAGACCTAAATGTAAGACCAGAAACCATAAAACTACTAGAGGAAGGCACAGGCAGGACAGTCTGACATAAACTGTACCAATATTTTTTAGATCTATCTCCTAAAGCAAAGGAAATAAAAATAAATGGGATCTAATTAAAATCATTTGCACAGCAAAGGAAAAGAGAACCACCTACTGAGTGGGAGCAAATATTTTACAAATGATGTTAATTGATAAGGGTTAATATTCAACATATATAAACTGCCATATAACTGAAAAAAAAACCCAATTTAAAAAATGTGCAGAAGAACTGAATAAACATTTTTCCAAAGAGAAAATGCAGATGGCCAACAAGCACATGAAAAAATGCTCAACATAGCTAATGATCAGGGAAACCACAATGAAATATCAACCTCACAGCTGTCAGAATGGCTATCATCAAAAACACAAATAACAAATGATGGCGAGACTGTGAAGAAAAGGGAACTCTCATACACTACTGGTAGGAATGTAAATCTGTGCATCCACTACAGAAAACAGTATGGAGGTTTCTCAGCAATTTCACTCCTGGGTATATATCTGAGAAAAAATAAAAGACCACTGGTTTTGAAAAGACACATTCTTTCCAATATTCACAGCAACATTATTTACAGCTGGTAAGATATAGAGGCAATCAAGTGTCTATTAACAGATGAATGGGTAAAGAAAATGTGTGTGTGTGTGTGTGTGTGTGTGTGTGCATGGAATACTACTCAGCCATAAAAGGAATGAAATTTTGTCATTTGCAGCAACATGGATGAACTTGGAGGGTATTATGCTGAGTGAAATAAGTCAGAGAAAAACAAATACTCAATGACATTACTTGTATGTGAATCTAAAAAATGTGAAAGTAGTGAATATATTCTAGTGAATATAACAAAAAAGAAACAGACTCACAAATATACAGAACAAACAAGTGGTTACCAATGGGGAGAGACAAGGGAAGAGGGAGAATACAGGGATAGGGCATTAAGAGGTACAAACTATTATGCATAAAATAAGCTACAAGGATAACTGAACAACATGGGGGATATAACCAATCTTTTATAATAACTGTAAATAGAGCGTAACCTTTAAAAATCGTGGATCACTATACTGTATACCTGTAACTTTGTACATCAACTATACTACAGTAAAAAACAAAAGACTTGTCAAACTTGTATTGAAGAACATTACACATTTCTCAGCTGCAGAGCTTTGTAGTATTGAAGCCATACTATAAAATTCAAGAAGTTCTGATAGCCTTCCTTTTGTTCTATGTCTCCATCCCTTTCAGTTCAAGCTTGTCTTAGTCACCTCTTAATACCATCACATTGGGGACTAGGGTTTCAACATGTGTATTCAGTGGTGGGGCATAAACATTCAGTACACAATACCACCTAAACTCCCTACTCCTCCTGCTCTCATTTCCTCCTTAGGCACTTCTCATCATCTGACACACCATACATTTTACTTGCTCAGTTGGTAAAGAATCCACCTGCAATGCAGGAGACCCCGGTTTGATTCCTGGCTTGGGAGGATTCGCTGGAGAAGGGAAAAAGCTACCCACTCCAGTATTCTGGCCTGGAGAACACCATGGACTATATAGTCCATGGGGTCGCAAAGAGTCAGACAGGACTGAGTGACTTTCACATTTTACTCACCAACCAGAATATAAGCTATGATCAGAAGGATTTTTTTTTTCCAATTTTGTTCACTGATCTATTCCCAAGCATGAAGTCAGAGCCCAGTACATAGTTGTTAAGTAAGTAAATAAATGAATATAGGACTAACAGTCAGGCAATGTATGTTATGCTACCAACTCTTATTAACAAGTAGTATGGCTTTTGAAAAGTAATTTAATCTCTCTGGATCTTAATTGTTCTCATCAATAAAGCAAGAGTATTAAAAAACTCTAGATTAGAAAATTCTATGATTTAAGGATATGGAATCCATAATAAGAAAATAACAATTATGCTATACAATTAATTATACAACTGCAGACTTTTTTTTGGCCTGGTTGTTAGTCATAGTAAGAAGAGTACCTATTTGGCATATCCATATCATAGGCATAAATTTTCAATCGTACCTGAGAATTTAACTTGAGAAGATCAGTCTGAGAGTCATTGGATTCTGAACTGTCAGAGGCATGGCTACTACAAAAAATAATAAATTACTTTATATAATGTTTTGGTGGTGTTTTAAAACTTCAACTGTTACTTTTACTTTATTATGTTATTGGAATGGCAGAAATAGTTCTAGTTATAAAAAGGATGTTTACAAAGGTGGTGTAGATGTTTGATAGTTCTAGGCTTTAGAAGAGAGTATTAGAGGAATGATGACTGAAATTGATTGGATCATGTCAAATATAAACAAATCCATGAGTTCAAAATGATACTCTATGTGCAAACAAACTTGTGAGTCACCACTGGAGGTTGCAGGGGCACTAACTCTAAGTCTGAAAACTTAATAAAGGTTAAGAATCAAACATTTGTTCTGTTTTTCCTATAGGAACTGCACTAAAATTAGTACGTTCCTTCTTCCAGTAACATTCCCTTGGCATTAAGTTTTGCACTTATTATTCACTAACTTAGAGTATTTATATGGTGTCTATAAATGTGTCAATTCTCTGTGGGTAATGACAGCATTAAAAACAATTTGAGTATGCCTTTCATATATAGTACATAGTGGATACTCAATATCATTTGAATAAATGAAGTCTTGATGAGGTCTGGCTGAAGTAATGTGCATGGGGGAAATTTTCCTCCATCTCTAGCCAGGATTTTCAGTACAGACTGACAATTACATCCTTGAATTGTTAAAACAGGCCTTTATTAACCAGGAATGGAACCCTGGTCGTGGTGGTGAGAGAGTCGAATCCTAACCACTAGACAGCATGGTAGAATAACACCGCAAATTACATTACTTTCACTATCTTGACCTACCTAGTCTCTAGATCCAATGTGATTTCTTTCAGAGAAGTATCTGAATCATCAATGACTTTTTCCAAGTTTATATGCTTCTCCATTTCTTCTAATTCTCTCAGGCACTGATAATACTAGGGGGAAATGATAGGTAAGTTAATTATAAATAGCTATTTCCTAATTAAAGTAACTGAATATTTATAGACACCTGGAACATCAAGTACAACAAAACACCGAATGAACAGTCAGGGTGTTAGAAGAAACAAACTGCTGCAGGTCCAAAGGCAGGTGATGTTATCTGGGCATCTGGAGTCTAATGTATGAGCAAATGGACTTTACTTACCTTGGTTCGGTCTGGATCACAGTAGTCCAAGAGAGAATCACAAAAGTGATATCCCATTGACTCCAAGTCTTTCGTGTTGAAATGAGTGCCTCTTTTATTACCTAAAACATCAATAAGTTTATCCACCCTTGATGGTGAATTAAACATTTTTTTCTTAGCAGGAAGGCCTAAGTTGCAAAACAGAGTATAAACAAAACACCTGATATGATTTCATATTCTGTCCTTTGGATCTTCTGCACTGGGGCAGGTCATTAAACAACTATTTACCCTTGTTCCCTCTCCACTACCTGGACCAGAGGTGACATTTAAATGAACACAGATTAATCTGTGTTGCAAAGCAGAAGAAAATTCAGTCAGAAAGTTATGGACTACTTGGTTACTAGTTATAAGCACCCTAATCATCACTTAGAGAAAAACCTGCAGAAATATTTAATGGTTTCATCATCATCAACAGTGTTACATCAATTTCAAGGTGCTTAAAAATTAGCCAGAAGTAATATGTCTGGATTTCTGGCACTTTCCTTTGAGTTGATACATTTTCTAATAAGTGAGTTACCCTAATATGAGGCATTCTAAGGATATGTTAAATGTGACTGAAAGCTTCCTTAAATGGAACTAGAGCACACGTTTATTTTACTTCAAGGAACCAATTAAAAAAAAACAAAACCAAAGCCCAGTTAACTCTGTCTTAAAAATAGCAAATCTAGTAAAGATATTTCTATTCTGATATTTTAATTATGAGCATTGCTTTTTCTTGAAATCATTACAGTCATAGGAACTCTTCTAAAAGAAAACCCCAAACAAGCAATTAAAGACCAGATCATGAAACAACCACTTAGGTATAATATGTATGTGCTAAAACTTCCTTTTCTCAACAAAGCAAAGTGATGCGATAGAGATACATACAGTAGGCATTTGTTTATTCATCCTATTTATAGAACTGATTAGATTACTGGTATATATCCAAGTAGGAAGAAAGTGCTCACTATCCAGTTGTCAAACACTATGAATCTTACATTGAATGTGTTCCTTTGGTTTAAATCTCTGACAGTCATGAATGAGGGCCCTCAATCTTACCCAGAGTAGATCCACAAAAAGTGGCCTCCATGGTGAAGCTGTTCCTGATTCCCATTTTCCACATCACCACCCTTCCTGTTCCCTCTTTGCTCTTTTGAATATTAAACTTGCAGGATGAGAATGAAAACTGAAAAGAAGCAAATAAAAATGAGACCCACTGCTTTTCTAATCACAATGTCTGTCATAGGAAGTAGGGTTAGAAATGAAAAAGTAGGTTTGCAAAAGCATAATTCTCTCTAAAGCTAAAATAAAAGCTTCTGGAGCTGCTTTTATTTCCTGATCAGTGGAAACAGCTCATTTTAAGGATGACATATTTACATTTCTGAGAATTATAGGCTTGAATTCTGAAATAAATCTTTATATATATATATATATATATACATATATATATATATATATAAAACATATGCATTCAAAACCCAGTTGACTAATTCTTGATAGTGTTGACTTTAAAAAGTTACAGGAAGGAGTCTAAACATATTTAGGAATGAAGATCAGTGTTGTAGATTTTTAGAATAAAGATGCTTTATTATCACATGAAAGATAATTTGAAAATTACCCTGAAAGATTGTTATAACATCAGTATCTACAATGAGTTTTTGTAATTACCAAACGATTGAAAAAACTTACTTTGTGTTCCATCCTGTGACTGTTAACACATGTATGTTGTTGTTTAGTCACTAGATCTGACTCTTTTGTGACCCCACAGATTGTAGCCCACCAGGTTCCTCTGTCCATGGGATTTACCAGTGGGTTGCCATTTCCTTCTCCAGGGAATCTTCCCAACCCAGGGATCAAACTTGCATCTCCTGCGTTGGCAGGTAGGTTCTTTACCACTGAGCCACTAAGAAAGCCCTAATACATGTAAAGGTTTGTGAAAACTGTCAACAAATTGGCACTTGCCATGGGTGCCTGCCATCTACCTCTATAAGGATTAAGTCATGTGCTACAGCAGCTTCTGCCCTCCAATACTCCCCCTGAAGGAGTTCAGGGTGGAAAGCAAGAATGAGACACTCTGTACTATGGGAAACTGGCAGGACAGGTCTTTAGATAGTTAGATACTGTCAGGAGCTGATTTTACGAGCCCAGTTCTTATATCTCCTCATATCTAGAAAAGCACTAAGATCCTTCATGGTGACGACTGTTTCTCGAGACTAGCAGAAGCTTCACAAAACCAGCAGAAACTTTCTACAAATATGTGCTTGACTGCATGCACTTCCTGTTTACCAAAATCACACATATATGTATCCTTTCCCCCTACCTCTTTGGAACAGTTTCTTAGAGCTATCTGATGTGCTGTCTCCCAGGCTACAGTCCTCATAGTGCCCCAAATAAAACTTACTCGCAACTTTCACGTTGTGCATTTTTTTTAGTTGATAAAACACCTCCACAGATCAGAATATAGAACAATTCCATCACTTCTTAAAAACTCCCTTGTGCCATCCATTTGCAGTCACAAGTCTTCTGCTTATTTTGGACCTATGGTAAATGGTTTTGCTTTAAATTTTGCTTTCCAGTTGTTCACTGTGAGTATACAGAACTGCAGCTGGCTTCTGTGGATGGACCCTGTATCCTATGACATTGCTAAACTCACTCAGTTATAGTTTTTGTGGATTGCATGGATTTTCTGTGAAGACAATCACATCTGCCTTTCCTTTCTAGTCTGCCTTTTCTTCCCTTACTGCACTTGTTAGAACCTCCAGTATAAGGATGAATTCAAGGGGTAAGAGTGGATATCCTTGCCTTGTTCCTGACCTTAAGAGAAAAACAATCAAGTCTTTTATCGTCAAGTGTGGTGGTAGGCTAGTGAGCATTTTTCCGTTCATATTTCAAATTATTGGTTATTAAACATTTCACATCATTGCTTTCTATGGTCAACTGTATAAACCAGTCAAAAAAACTAAATAAAAAAGCAGTTTACTGAATAAGTCTATCCATTCAGCTGTCCTGCATGGACAATATGTAGTAAAGGAAAAGTCAAAATCTTAAAGGTGCTTACTTTATCTGGACAATTTTTGCTCAGCATAAGTGGAAAGATTCGTTGCTGTAAGTATAATGCTTTACATCTATCACTACCATCACAGCCATACATGAATATGTTCTCTTTCTTGCTATGGCCATGAAGGTCACAATACAAAATAACCTCTCGTTTCTCCATCAATCTACCAAGAAGAAAAAGAACAAGTTATTGCATTTTATCTCTACATTTTTCTTCTGTGGTTGTAATTATGAATTAATAAGTCTAACATCCAAATAAACAGCATTTCTTATATCCTAGTTTTCTTTTCTTCTGCATATTAATATATAATTTTTTAAACACCTACAATAAGCTCCTATTAATTGTATATAAAATGTGAATGCTTTAGCCTTCTACTATAAAGACAAAATTTACCTTATTTCCAAGAATTTCTCCAACAGGATTTCTCTGCTTTTTGGTTGTTTTTTTGTTGTACACTGAAAACAACTCACTACTATCTGCCCATTAGCTCTTAGATTCTTTCTAAAAATACCTTCCTTCTTCATCTTTGTAAATGCAAATACTACCCCTTATCCATCAACACTGACCTCAGGTCACACTTCCTCTCTAACTAGTGAGGCTCCCCACCAAATTTTTCTTTTCTTTGAACTCCTGTAGTATTTAATATTGGTACCGTTTACTTGATACTTACCTAAATAGATTTTTAGATTTTCCATAGTTAATCTCGTTATAGAAAGGGAATGCTTCAAAATTTCTAAAACAGTGCAATGCATAAAACAGTACCCAAATATGTATTAAAATTTGTGCCTGATGACTCAATGCTGAAGCCAGTTAACATTTACCCTTTGAGTAATGTGAATAAATACCATTTTTCTCAAAATGGTACCAAAGTTTGAATTGATTATATTTCTAATAAATAACTTACAGAAATCATTTCTCAAGAGCACAGTTCTTTTAGCCTGTATAATTTAGGCATTCAGTGAATATTAAAGTAATAAAAAATAAGTCCCTCAAAACTGGTTGATGAAAATAACTAGTAGGCTTTCAAAAGGTGAAAAAGTGGTGGTATTAAAGTGGTAGGATTATGGGCATTTTTGCCTTGATTTTCATATTTCCAAACTTCATAAAGCTACTTAAATAACTGAAATTACATACACTGTTTGTTATATCTGGAAGGATAAATACAAATGTTAACAATCTGTACTAATATGAAATGTACTACTTTTATAATATTAAATTTTAAAATCAAAATAGTCAAAGTGTAGCTTTTATTCAAAACAGTACTTTTTTAAATTATAGTGAAATTCCAAGCTGAAATCTGATATATATATTAGTTCATTGCCCTTTTTATTTGATGACCAATAAATTCTAACTGATAACATAAGACTGACATAAAGCCTTCAAATGATCATTGCAAGTTTTTAGTACTAGATTATAAAACTATACATTTTAAAATCATTTCCCTAGTTTTAATGAACATCTGGTTTCTTTTAAGTGAGTCAAAAGAAACTCTAAGTAATTAAATCCCAAAGAAATATTAATTACTACTTTTGAAGTGAAACAAGGTAACAGGGTCTCTCAGCTTACACTGAATCCCTTTAGAAAGAGTTCAGATTTTTTTCTTACCCACAGTTAAGTATCCTATACTAAAATCTAGTATTTTCAAATACTTTAAATATATCTAATCTTAGGCATACTTTCAGCTGCTCACCTATCCATACATATGTGACTGTCTTTTATTCCATTTACTGCCTGTGATTAATGCCATTAAGGTAGTTCTTTTTCTTGCCAGTCTTTCCGAAATTTAATGAATGGATTCCTGCCTTAAGCTTCTTGTGAGACAATTTAAGAAGAACTAAGATAAACATCTTTCACAGAGACAAGCCAAGGGGCTTTGGCTGTAATCCATCTTGTGTTGGGCCAGGCACCCTTAATGTCAAAGAGCATTAAGGAGACATTATAAATACTCAAATGGGCTCCAAAAGTTCCCTTTCTATTAAAAATAAACTTTAAATTCTGGAATAAATTCAGATTTACATAAAATTGCCAAAAATAGTTGAGAGAGTCCATATGGCTACCCGTTGGTCCATTTTCCCCTAATGTTAACATAACCACATAACCATGAAATGTTGTCAAAAACTAGGGAACATTTGAATTTCACGAATTTCCCCAATAATGTCCTTTTTCTGTCCCAGGATCCAATATAAGATACCACATTGCATTTACTCAGCTCTTTTATCTGTCATCCCCAGGAAACTAAGTCACTCATGGGTTATTCTTTATCACTTAAATATTTCCCAGGTAACTTCAGAGAATCCTGAAGTCCACATCTGTGAGGGGTATAAAACCAGGGTTTTCACTCCTTTTTGTGGGAATCTGCATTTCACTTTCCATGTGTCTAAGATGAAAGGATTAACTGAAAGTTGAGGCTGAACTCAGACAACTAGAGCTGCGCTGGGAGCTTCGGAAGCCTGTCAGCTCCTCTAAGGGACTGGAGGTATCCCTGAGATGCTCCTTCTTGAAACAGGGCTCTGACACTTGCACTAGTAGCCCTGGCGACAGAGCTGGGTGAGGATACAAACACTGTAACAGTACTTATCAGTGCAACATTTGAACAACCCTAAAAAGTTTACAAAGAGTTTTTACATCTATATTTAATTCATTAACTCCTTTTCTTTTTACATTTAAGGAAACAATGAATACATTTAGAATTTACAATATTCCAGTAATACTGGACACTTTATTCTGAGCACTTTAGTAATAATCTCATTTAATCCTCCTGTTTGTGAGGTAAGTATTACTATTCCCACTTTACAAATAGATGAGGAAATGGAGGTTTGGGTTTGTTTTTAAACTGCTCAAGATCACACAGTTACCAAATGACAGAGCAGGGATTCCCATTTGATGTGTTTTCATTTCAGTCTCCACATTCTTAACCAAAAATGTTAAGAGGCTTTGGACTTGGAATGGGTATTGTTTCACTCCAGTAAATCTTTCTACTCTAGCAATGCCTGTTTCTGATTGTTATTACTTGAATCTATTAAAGAATTCACCCAGTAATCCAACAAGTCTTTAAATATTACGTGCATTTTACTGTTCTGATTCTTTAGAAAATTTAAAGCTGTTCATTTTTTTCTAGGGGCAAACAAGACTATTCATGAAAGCTTAAGTAAGTATGCAAACTTATCATCATCCTAAGAGACTCATCATAGAGCAATGTGTGGTCAATGCAGTACTCAAGACTCTAGATGTAATTAATTTTCTAGATGTAATTAATGAGGGATTCTCAAGGATTCCAAAAGAAACATCATTAGCTTTAGGAAGAAACCAAATTTAGGACAGGCAAATTTAAGTTTCACTAAGCTATTAAAATGCTGTTATTTAAAAGAAAGCTAGTGAATGTAGTGGCATAATGCCAGAAAGGTATAGAAGCAGAGTTGGGAAGAATGAGGGAAAAAATTAACCAGCTAAAGTTAAACTATCTTAAGGAAAGTTAAGAGTAAAGTAAGTGGGATTGTGGGAGCAAAATTCTTACTATCAAGTTTACTAAATAAGCAGAGGGTAATTTGAGGCTTATTTTACCTCCGGATCATGTTCCGGGTATACCAGACAGAAGGAAATGATTCCTTCAGGAGAGATGTATAGTTACGGTTTAAATCCCGTCCAGCTAAGGAACAACGATAATTTCCTACAATCACACCATCTGGATTCAGCATGGGTACCACCTTGAAGACGAACGTGTCCCGAAGCAACTTTGCATCACTTGAGTTTCCTAAAATATAATCTAGAAAGCCTTTCATGATCCAAGAGCTGTTGGTTTCTCCGGGATGTACCCTTGCAGTCAGAATCACAGCCTTCCGCTTTCTTGACTCACTGTTCTTCAAGGGGGTAGTAATCGTTAAAATATACACCATGTTCCTAGCAATTGTGTGGCACAACACACGTATTTTACAAAACTTTGACCGTACTGGGTCATTATTGATGCCAGACAGGTATTCTTGCAGGTTTGTGTAAGTGTACGGATAGCAGTGAGCAAAGTAGCAGGTATCTTTACTGTGTGGAAATTGAAATGTCCATGTAAGTGAAAAATGATGATGCCTATCTTGCCCCTGGTTGTTTCTATAATACTTGATTTGGTCTCCTATTCTCTGCCAGCCAATATTATGAGCGCTGGCCTCTTTCTCAGAATAAAACAGTGGGCGCATACCCCGATTATAAAGACTAGCAGGCTTGGTGAAATTGATAATAGTGAATCTGTAGACTATTCCTGCTTGAGTATTAGTGACTTGGAAATAGTACCACTGGGTGTGTTTATTTGTGAACAGGTCAGGTCGCACAGTCAGCTGGTATTCATATTCTGCCCTAATACACAGAAAAAGGAAGAGGGGGGCGAGACATAAAAATGTTAAAATGACATTCAACTTTAAATAATAAAAGTAATAATAAATATACAAATAATAACCTACCTATTCATGGAAAGCTTTTTATTTGGGAAACAGTGTTTATTAAGTAGTATCTAACACCAAGTTATTGCAAAAGATCGATGTTTTGAAATTTTTTCTTTTAATTGGATGTGAAACTGATTCTATGCTAATTCTGAAGCCTTTTTATCCCTCTGTAATTCAAGAGAGCACATTAAAAAAATGGGCATTTGACAAAAAATTATGTATTTCAACCCAGTTATGTTTCCTATAAAAGAAGTGATTAAAGAGTTCTTAAGTTTTTAAGAATTAAAGTCTGTGTCTTTTTTTTTTTTACTTCAGACACATTTGTTTTATATTAGATTCTAACTCTAGAGATCTGAAATACATATCACTAACAAAGGTTAAAAACATATATAAATTACTATGAGCATATGAATTATAAAATTTTAAACTCTTTGAGAGGACAGGAACTATATTTGATAACTATTTGCATTCCCCATACTTAATCACTGAAGATACTTAAATAAGAGCAAATATAACTTCATTAGTACATTACTTATATATACAACAATTTTACCTGGTTAGTTGTGACTTTTTTCTTTACCAAGTAACTTCCTATTCTATGAGCATTACACACTTATTATGTGTGTATATGTGTTTGTGTGAATTGGTGAAATGAATGTTGCAAAACCTGAAGAGCTATAGAATCTAGGTGATAAGTATATGTAGAATCATAAAATTAAAAAAAAAAAAAGAATATCCTTGAATTGTATGCATATTCCCAAGCATGTTTTATAGAACACTCATCTGAAGACCTATTCCATTAAAAAGTTGGAGAAGCAGTGTTCATGTGTGTTTAACAGTTCATACTGGCATACTAAAAATGTACACTACAGAAACCTGCTGAATTTTAATTCATTGCTCTCAAAATTGTTTGAATCCAGAACCTTCCATACCTACCCTCTTACGATAATCTCTAATTAGCATCTACACTTCAAGCAATTATAGTTCAGCAATGGATACTAAAACTATTGTACCTAATACAGGAAAGTTGATAGTCTAATTCCTCAAATAAAAATAATTAAAACCTACACTTTGACTACCTTCTGTAGATTACCACTCTCAAACCTTGCTTCAAACATCAAAGTATCGTCACAGTTATCCACAGGCTGCTTCAAGGGTGTCCGGTTGCCCCCAACTCGGGAATACACAAAACACGGCTCTTTGTAGGCTGATGAGAGACCATAAAGATGTTCAAGCCATATCTAAAGTCTATAGTCTATTCTGCATAGAGTTTGAAGCTATAGTATAACTGAAGTGTCACTAGGGGTTATACATTTTACTGACATATAAGTTTATGTGGAAATAAGAAAGCCTGAGTACTTAGATTAGAGAAGCAATGCCTAAAATAAGTTCATGTATTTCTCACAGTAGAAATACATGAATTCTACTTCTGGTTGTAATGAAGTAATTGTCCCTGAAACTGTCTTTTCACTGTAAATGATTATAAAACTGGACCAAAAAAAAAAATACAAATTAACTATTTCCATGCATTCAGACAACACAAAGATTAGAACTACATTAGATTTCTTCTTGGGAGTACTTTTTACCTCTTAGAAAGATGACACTTAAGGATAGCATAACAGTCTTGGTGAGCTGAGGAGGCACAACTGCTGCCTAGGGCTGCTGAAATTAGCACCCTCGGTACTAGAAGAAGAAGCTACATAGAGGGCGGGCTTCGGGAGTCCACATGGTGGCTGCCTGGCTGCAGATGTGGCTGTACAAGCACAGGTAAGGCTGAGGTGACAGGACAGAGTGCTCCTGAGACAGCAGAGGATAAACATCCTGGCATAGACTGAAACTCCACCTTATCCAAATAGAAAGGCTTCACTGAGCACTGCAGGCGTTCAACTGTGACTCTAGAAATGCTGAACATTAGGCATAAAAACCACATTTAGGAGAAGGGTCATGACCTAGAATGAAGGACAAAATAAAAACAGATCTGTTTTTATAGAGAAAGTAAACCAATTCTAAAAGAAGCAAAATGATTTGTTAGCAATTTAGCTGCCTACCAGAAAAAAATTCAATGCAATTTAAAAAAAGAAAACTCCAAAACATGTCTTTCACAATTTCCCACATGTGATTAAAAAAAATTATGAAGCATACAGAGAATGAGGAAATGTGATCCAATAAATATTTATATATTTAACAGACGCAAAGATAACTCAGATGGTACGATTAACAGAGAAAGACTCTGAATTTATGTTAAAAGGAAAAGATAATGAATAAACAGATCATCTAATTTAAAAAGGAAACTATAAAAAGAAAGAAATGAAAATTCTAAAAATAAAAAGTATAATAACAGAAATGAAAGATTTACCAGACGGGTTTAAGAGAAATTGAATATTGCAAAAAAAAAAAAAAAGACTCAGTGAACTTACAAACAAATGAATACAATTATCCAAACTCAAGACCAGAGATAAAAAAAAGAACAAAGATCCAGTGAATGTGGGACATAACTAGAAATCTACCACATTTATACTTGAAATTCCAAAGGACAGAAAAGAAAATATCATGGAGAAATTGTGTGAAGAAATAATGGTTGAAAATTTTTCAAATTTGGATAGACAGAACTAATAACCTATGGATCCAAGATGTTCAGCAAACTCCAAGCAGGATAAATGCAACGATAACCAAATCTAGGCAGATCACAGACAGAAGACACAGCATATATAATGTGGAACAATGATATAAATTATGTCTGACTTTTTCTTAAAGAGAACAGAAGTCATGAGATAATGGAACAATATCTTTAAAGAAATAAAAATATTTGAAAGAAAAAATGTGAACCCCAAATTCTTTATGTCCAGTTGTTTGGGGACTTCCTTCTCCTACAGCTACAGGTCTCGACACCAGTCTGCTCTCTTTCCCTTTCGTGTCGAGGAGAAACAGTGATTCTGTTTCTGTTGACAACTCAGTGTTGTCTCACCATCCCTTATTAGTCTCCCTTGATTCTGTCCACCCTTTTATAGGATATCTTTTCATTAAAATTTCTTAAATTACGTTTGCCATGCAATTCCTGACAAGACCTTGACTGACTCACCTCAGCTACTTTAATTTTATATTATATCTCATTTAAGTTATGTGTGGAAGTTATAAGGTAGGTTAGCTGGGTAAATATTTTGAAATCAAATTGAAAAAAATCAGAGGTGCTTTTCTCACCTCAGTTGTTTAAAAATACATGAATATATGATTTCTGTAATCATTTCTGTAATCTGTAATATATGATTGCTTACTATATAGGAAGCAATCCCTGTGAATTCCTCTATTTTGCCAACTCTTTAAATAAAATACATGTTCCCTGGAAGTTATCTTTAATATATATTCTAAGATATACAAATGTGATGGTGAAACTGTACAGGAGTCCCATACTTCCTGACATTAGGGTTTCAGGAGCAGCAGTTTAGAATACAGGTTGAGACTTCTATGTTTGATTATTAGTACACCTGACCATAAAGCAGAGATTTTTACATTACTGGAACTCTCAAAGTGCCAATTATTAATCCTGAGTGTTAAGAACACTTTCCTGAGATATAATCTTGGATAGTATTTGTGATGTGGGATGTTTTTTGGCAATCCCAAGCCATGCATCAAACTGGCATGAAATGAAAATAAACCATTTGAAAGACTGCATGAATATGACCTATAGACAGACAGGTGCAGAGCATTGTGCTAGATATATCTTTGAAAACTAATGTAAAGTTTAATTCCATCTCAATAAAACTCTTCATTCTCATGGTCAACATGATGCTTCATTTTAAAATAACTGTGCATAAACTGCAGTATGCACCTTCAAGAATACAATTAGCACTGAATCAACATCTAGATCAATATTAACCAAACATGGTTATGGAGTCAGGGATTTCCTGGTAATTGGCAATTTCCACTATACACAGCAGAACAAATACAACTAATAGATTAGCCCAGACACCAAATTATTATATTTTATCGCAACATGTCTCATTATGTACCCACCATCTTCGGCTAGATAAACCACAGTTTCTTCCTTGGAGTTTGCATAAAGGGGTTCCATCTCCAGGCCCGTGGGGATGTACATTGGCTCAGGATTCAAAGGGGTCCAATCTGGAGAAAAACCATTATTTGAATATGACTTCAAAATAAAGCAGTAAGATTTTATTGTATATTTTCAAATTATTCATTGGTAGATCTAGGCTCAAATCCAGCAAAGCTGGATTTCTCATTGAAAGTAATCATGAGCATGGTCACACTTTAACAAAACCCATAACATCTTATTCACAACTTGTGCTCAGTCACTCAGTCATGTCTGACTTTTTGTGAAACCCATGGACCAGTCTCCTCTGTCCATGGGGTTTTCCAGGCAAGAATACTGGAGTGGGTGGCCATTTCCTACTCCAATCTGCACCTTGGTTCTAAGTCATTATATAGTTCATGATTATTTTGTGTCACCACAGATATAATGCTAAAGATTCTATTACTCCTGGGTGCTTGATGCCTCTCTAACCTATCTTTGGGAAACTTACTCACCTTTTTATTCTCCCTTCCCCTGCATCTTCAGTCTCTTGCTTCCTCATGGTTGCCCCCTAAGCTTGCACGCATGGTTCAAGTTTCTTTTGTCTCCCCACTGGAAGGCAGTCCTTGGAGCCACATCTTTTCCTTTACCTATACCAGCTTTCCTGCTCTTCATTATTTTTAGGGCCAGATTTTTGACCATGGTCTACCTGGTTGGGAAAAAATGACTTCACGGTCCAACCACTACTGTTGTTCCCACTTTTTAGCAGACAAGAATTTGGTGATGACTCATTCTACTTATACTACTTATTATTGGCTGCTGTGTGTCAGACTGTGCTTCGCTCTTGGAATAGAAATGCTCCAGTAGAGGGAGCCAGCCTCTATGATCCCAAATACATTTGCTGAAACAAAAAGAACTTGGTGATGAGAAACAAGTGTTACTGGACAAATATGTTTTTGGTGTTATATGTACAACTGCTTTAGCAGCAGAAGTGTATTTGACATGATGAATAAGGGTCAAGTCTAGCTACAGAAAAAGCACAGAGCAGAATATCAATGCAAATATTCAACAGTGTACTTTGTAGGGTTAACAACACACAACACAACTGATAACAAACAATAAAACAAATTAAAATTTAGAAGTGAGACTCTCATTAGTTGAAAACAACCAACTCAAACCAAAATTAACAATGAACTGATAATACAGCACCTGTTTTGAAATTTTGGGGTATTTTAGCTCTTTGCTTTTTTTTTTTTTTAACCATCTTGATACAAAAAGCTGTACAGTCTGGCCTTTAAATAGTACAGTAATCTCATTTTATATCTTCATGCAATTTGAGGATACCTTTTCTCACTTAGGTTACAAAGTTGTTTCATTTCCTTCTCCCTCTTCTTAAAAGGTTCACAGAGGAATTAACCTGATGTCTGTGTACAAATGGAATATGACTTGCCATCCCTGTAAACTTCGAGACTACTTTAGAAAACCTATTGACAGGCTGTATTCCTGTAACTGTGGTGTTTTATTAATATAAATTCTTTGGCTATTGATTATAAAAGGTGTTCCTCTCCCAAGATTAATTTATGTTCCACTTTCCAATGCTGAATAAAAGGTTCAGAATAAGTGATGGGCTATATCTGGCCCATGGGCTATAGTTTATTACTACAGAGCCTGGACTCTAAGCCTTAGCTTTTCCTACATAAGAAATCTCCCCAAATCTTAGTTATCTCAGCTTGGTGATTCTTTTGGTATGGGTTAGGTCCAGTCATGTATCTTGATCAGCTGCAGGTTTAGCTGGAGGCTGGCTGATCTAGGATAACCTCAGCTCATCTCTGCTTCACTCTCATTATCCACAAAGCTAGCAAGGAATCGTTCCATGGTGGCTGAACAGGGTTTAAGAGAAAGCAAAAGTGTACAGGCTCTTGATGCCTAGGTCAACACTGGCATGCTTTCTTTTCTGCCACACTCAATCTGGCTAAAGCAAGTCACAAGGCTATCTCAGATTCAAGGCATAGGGCAAGAGTATACCTCTTCATGGAAGGAGACGCAAAGTGGTATTTCAAAGGGTGAGGATACTTGGATCCACATGGAGAATCATGGCTACTTTTTAAATTGAGAAAAATTTACATATTATATATGATACACTCATAAAACAGTACAGTTTAATGAGTTTTAAAAGTATATAATCATGTAAACAACACACCTATCAAAATATAGAATATTTTTTTTTTATCATCTTAGAAAGTTTCCTCTTGCCCTTTCAAGTCAACCCCTACCACTGGTTTCTGTGACTATAAACCAGTCTGCCTATTCTACAACTTCATATAATTGGAATCATATATAGTCAACTGTTTCGGGCCTCTTTAACTCAGTATAATGTTTTTGGAATTCATCTATGTTATGTTTACCAGGTTTTATTTTCCTTTTTATTGTTGATACGTATGCCATTGTATGGCTATACCATAGTTTGGGTATCCATTCTTCTACTTCTGAAGTGGTTCCAGTTTTGTACTTTTGTGAATAAATATGAAAATTAAAATTATATGCAACTATTTTTGAACATATATTTTAATTTCTCTAAATACCTAGGAGTAGAACTGTTGGTCACAGAGTAGATACATATATATTTTTTGTTGTTTTTGTGAAAAAAACCTACCACCAAACCTTTTGTATTAGAATTCCAGTTCTACATTCTATTATTTGGAGTTGTCAGCCTTATTAAAAAAAAAAAAGTTGCCATCCCAGACGTAAAGTTGTTATTTCACTGTGATTTTAATTTTCATTTCCTATGTTGAACATATGTTCCTTAGCCATTATATGTTGTGCTTTAAGAAAAGTTTTCTCAAAAAAAAAAAAAAAGTTTGCTCAAGTCTTTTCCCCATTTTTAACTGTTTTTTTCTTTTTAATATTTATTTGTAATAATTCTTCATATATTCTGCATACAAGTCCTTTGTCAGATATACATTGGGAATGTTTTCTTACAGACTGTGGCTTGCCTTTTCATTTTATTCACTGTGTCTTTTGATAAGAATTTTTAATATCAATGAAGTCAAGTTTATTAATATTTTCATTGTTTCCTTTTTCTTTCTGGAGTCTCCCTACAGTATTGTTGCCTTATTCTCTGGTTATGAAGATACTGTCTGGTTTTCTTTTAGGACTTTAAAATGTTAACTTTCATGTTTAGGTCTACAATCTATTTTGAATTAAATTTTAGTGTATTAAGTGAGATAGAGGTCAAGGTTTATTGTTTTCTACATGGATCCCAAGTCATTACAGCACAAATTATTGAAAAGAATTTTTCTTTATTCCCATTGGATGGTTTTGGTTCTCTGTCAACAATCACTTGGTCTCTTTCTGGATTCTATTCTGTTGCACTGATGTATTTCTTTTTTTGCCAATTATTTGTGCTCACTTTTCAAATCTACCAAAACATACTACCATCTATAGTTCACATGACCAGAAACAAACCAAATGTTTAAACAAATTGTTTATTAGGAATTATACTTATGAAAAGTACAGAAACAAAGAAATATAGCTCAGTGATTTATCACAAAGCAGATACCACTCAGGTCAAGAAATACTATATTGCAGGTATCACAGGTGCCCCACTCATGTCCCCTTCTAATCACCACCTTTAAAGGTAACCATTAGCCTTCTAGTATAATGACTTCCTATTTTCCTTTATAATTTTCAACTTAAGTATTCACATATATACCTATATATAATATCTAGTTTATATTTACACAAATATACACATGAAACTATAGTTTTGTTTTGCCTACTTTTGAACTTTACATAAACTGAACTACATAGAATATATTCTGTGCTTTTAAATATATATTTGTGAAATCAGTCATGGTATGTGGCTGTAATTTGTTCATATTAATTGCTATAAAATATGTAACTATAAAAATGTTATAATTTATTTATCAGCTTCTACTTGTAATGGACATTGGGGCTCTGTTGGTTTGGGGGTATTATGAACAACAGTGCTACAAACAGCGAGCATATGTGCCCACTTTTCTCTTGGGTATATATCTGGGAGTAAGGATTCTAGATCGTAGGGCATGGGTAGCTTCAATTTTAGTAGATCATACAAAGCTGTAATCCAAAGTAGTTATACCACCTTACATACCCGTTAGCAGGTTATGAAGGCTGTAGCTGCTCCACATTCTCACCAATGTTTAGTACAAGTTAAAACCTGGTCTCTCATGATTTTTAAGAAACAGTATACTCAGCCTTGTTAATAATCAGAAATGCACATTAAAACCACAATGAGACACCTCCTCATAGTAAGGTTCAGGGATAAGTAAACATATCCATTTGAATATCTTTTTAAATAATGTGCCTGTGCAAATCTCTTGCCTGTTTTCCAACTGGGTTGTCTTTTCCTTATTATTTGTAGAAGGGTTTTTGTATATTCTAGATGTGACCTCTTTGACAGGTATATATTGCAGACTGCAAATATAAAATCCCAATCTATAACTTGCTTTGATTTTTTTTTAATAATGTACTGAAGTTCTTGACTTTGCTATAGTCAAAATTTTCAAAACTTTCCCTTATGGTTATCATGTTTTATTCCTTTTTATTAATATGTTCCATTAATAAAATGTGTTCCATTTTATTCTTTGCCAATTTCAGTATCATGAAGATATTATCCTGTATTGTTTTCTGGAAGTTTTGTTGTTTTTAAATGTAGATGTACATTTACATCTACAACCAACCTGTAGGAGTGAAGTGGGTTTTCATTTTTTAAATACTGAAATCCAGTTATTCTAGCACTATTCATTGAAAAGACTACCTTTCAATTAGTCTTCTGAAATTTCACTTTTAGTATAAATCAGGTGTCCATTTGATCACTTTCCAAAAAACACTGTACACTTCGGCTATCACTCTCCAATCTCCTAGTCTTCAAGCCTCTAAGCAACCATTAATCTACTTTCTGTATATATTTGCCTATTCTGGACTGATCAGCTAAATGGAATCATACAATGTTTGTCCTTTTTTGTCTGGCTTCTTAATGTTTTCAAGGTGAATCCCTGTTGCAGCATGTATGAGCACCTCATTCCTTTTTATGTACAATTAATAGTCCATG